CCCCCCCCCCCTCCAAAAAAAAAAAACCTGATCATTCTGTTTGGTGATTTTTCGAAATGTCCCCCAAGTCACAGTTACTAGTTCTGTAACTAAAACATCTTGCGTCTAACTTTTCACTGGATACACCGTGAAATATGGGCAAAAAGAGAATTTGGCCCCTAAAAAATCTTCAATGGCCCCTAAAAATCGAGGTCGTTGCGCCATATGGCTCCTGCAACTCAAAGGTGAGTTTCGATCATTGGTCATTTGTATGATCCAACTTCCATTTGATCTGTGTTAAAAATGCTTGATAATATTTCCTTCAGAAGTTGATTTTCGAACTTCACGTTGTTTAACATGTTTTTACCCCCTTTCTTTCTCTCCCCCCCCCCCCCNCCCCCCCCCCCCCTATAAGTTCCTGCTGTCCCGTTGTGCCTTCCCGATATTTGATATTTTTTCACGTGCGATTTTGAAGAGAAAACATGCGACGCATTCTTCTATTTCAGACCTTATCTCGTTACCCATTGAATACATTCCTTTGAATGGATAAAAAAGCATATTGACGGTGTAAGTCGGCAATCACATATCGACGGTGAAACTACCAAACCACGTATCTCGTTTGCGGTGTTTAAAAATCTACGCTCGTATTTTATTTTTTTGAAGTAGACCAAATCAATATCATTCCTTGAAATTTTCACAGAATTTTCTCCGCACGAAGAGGAAAAATCACAGAAATTTTCAAGACTGGACGCAAAGTAGTTTTTCATTTAAAAAATAAAGTATGACAGGAAGTCTGCGACGTCGCAAACCGAGATACGTGGTTTGGTAGTTTCACCGTCGATATGGCAGCAGTGTCTGAAAATCTCCGCCTGTATGTTATTTTTTTAAAGGAGAACAAATTGACATCATTCCTTGAAGTTTCCGCAGAATTTTCTTCGCACAGAGAATAAAAATCACGGCAGTTTTAAAGAATTGCCGTTGAGTAGTTTTCCGTTTAAAAAATAAAGTATGACAGGAAGTCTGCGACGTCGCAAACCGAGTTATAAGATTGCCAACTTACACCGTCGATATACATGATATAATTCGAAATTTTTCCATTTTATTAATGCTAAATATTTTGCATATCTTACTCTATGATGTATAATCATTTAAGTAACGCATAACTCCTCGGGAAGATGGACCGGGAAGCGGTTAGGGAGCTCTCTAGTCTATTTTATGAGTTGGTTTTCAAACTTTCCGTCACTGAATCCTGAAGAATTTTGAAAGGAAATTATATAACGGAGTGCTTGAATTATTTTCCTCCAGATGAAAATGGTATTGAATCATGTTACGGAAGATAAAAACTCACCGAAATAGCACCTCGAAAACACCCACAAAGAAAAACCATCCAAAGTATATGCGAGTGATAAAGCATCTGAATCACTTGGTGACCAAGCATGATGAAAGAATGAAAGATACTGACGATTTTGAAAGAAGGTCTCGACCACGGTGATTGCAAAATCTGAATGCGACTGAAATTACTTGTTTCAAGCTCATTGTCACTGTTTTTCTGCATCGATTTATCCTCAGTATTAACAGCTACGTCATAGCCTAATACTGAGACCATCTGCACGAAAGTGTAGAATGAAACGTGGAGAAATGATCACGTTTCTCCTAACATCTCTGTGGTTGTTGCCTCGATGTTCAGAATAATTTAACAGTTTAAAAAAATAAATTAAAAAAAGTTTGTATATTTTTTGGCCTCAAGTGCGTGAGAGTGCAGCAAAATTTGGCAAAATTGTCTTAAAAATGGGCCTGTTGCAAACATTCAGCCAGAGCAAAAACAAAGAAATAGTGTTTTTACACTTTGAACAAACGCTGTTGTGCGGCGTCACAATTTTTTACTCAGGTTGCTAGCTGAAAACAGATTTCGTACAAAAATTGTAAAAATTGCGCAGGTTAATTCTCGTGAAAAATTAAATAGTTTGAGTCAATTTTGCAACCTTGGAATAAGGTTACGTGCCTTCGTCTGGGAAACGAAGACTTGTGGACGTGGGCTGCTGGACGTGAACCAATGTATCTGTCAGTTCACCAGAGGTTGGGCACCAGTGAGATTTTTAAAGTTGAGGAAAAAATTTTTGTGAAAAATCCGTGAGAGAGGAAAAATATAGAATCGTCTATATTTTTCCTTGCAATTCCTTGATAGCACTTGCAATTCTACGAATTTCTGGGAACGAATCCCACGAAAATGTTCGAGAATGATTATCGACTAAACGCGCACAAAAACTCCACCATACACGCCAACAGTTTGCCGATGCGTACAATGAAAGTGACAAAAGATATATCTTTCTACGTGTCTTTACGCTCGTCATCAAAACTAGATTAAACTAAATTTTTTACGAGGGTAAGAAAAGGGGGAAAATCACGCTCGACCATTTTAAAGGATGCTAATGTATCGCCGGGTCGCAGTAAAATGTTCCTAAAATTCTGAGAACGGTGTGTGCGGCACACAGACGCACATGAAACATTTCATCATCAAGGACACATGTGTCACGCATCTCAGGTGATAATTTTAGATCTTCACTCAGCACAAGGTACTTTACACTCGCAAATTTTGAGGGTAAAAACACTGCAAATGGGAGAGGGGCCTCTTGAGTGCCCTGCTTTGTGAACTGCAAAAAGTGGAAAAATTGAAAATTCCGTTTTATCGCAGAAAATAATTGTTAGCATAGCCATATCTAGGAAAATTTGCCTGGAGGGCCTGGCCCCCTTACCACCGGAGGATTGGGGGGAGTGTGGAATACCCCCAGTCAAGAGGGAGGTCTGGAGGGCCTTCCTCGGAAAGTTTTTGAAATTTTAAATTTGTTGGGACGCATTTTGAGGCTTCCGTGACGCATATTTTCCATCAATTTCTGCGAAAAAAATACGTTTATTTTTTTACTTTCGGCAAAAAATACTTTCCAATCGGTGCTTTCAATAGATCCGGAAAATTGTTGAAAGCATAACTCTATTCGGACGAAAACTCTATTTGGAAATTTTACATAGAAAAGAGTTTTTTACAGACGTGAGAGGCAGAGGAGCTTTTTTACATCGATATGCTTCAGCATTTTTCCCTGAAACTAATTTTCGTACTCTTGACGGGGGTTCTCGTGACATTAAAAATTTTACGAAATTTCCGTCAAATTACGAACAAAGTTTACAAAAAATTTCAAACGAGAATTTCAACCGTTCTTGAGTACATGAGAACATATGTACATAAAACCCGTTCACTGAGCTCTCTAGCGCTATGCGATATCTAGCCGCCTAAGTCCCCTATACCCCAAAGCCCTTCAGGAAGTTGGCACTCTCTCATTTCTTGCAAATCCCTCTATCGCCATCCTCTTCCTGAACTTTACAAAGATGCAATAATCCTTCCGCACTCTCATTCTTTCAAGTCCAACTTATCAAGTACAGATAACATGAATGAGATTAGACTCTTTGATTCTGAAGATATAGTTTCGACTTTCCTATTGTTTTCATATACGAGGAGAAGAAAGACATTTGACAAAATTCGTAGAAACCCGTGCTGCATGCTCGCTTCTAGTTGAAGCCCGAAGGACATCATTTGGTTCGGCGTTTCAAATTTGCGGAAAAGTTGCGATTTAAAACTGCGTGTTTCCCGGTTACTGAGTTACTTTTAGCGTTTTTAATGTGCGGATCGTGTTCTACGCGTTAATGAACTCTAGTTGGCTCCTGCTTTCACCGATCATCCGTATCACTCACCACTCATCAATTCGTGAAATAAATGATATTCGCCCGCGAAAATTCGCTTATTGTTAATTTGAGAAAGTAGGGTTTGCAGATTCTGATGAGAAATGAAGCGATCGGATATAATTTTCGATAGCTAATCAGGTTTCTCACACAACTGAGTCGACAGTGCGATGGTGCGGCCGAGCTGCGTATTTACAGAGAAAATTCTCCTCACGACGGCGCTTTTAAAAATTGATGAATCCGCGCTCAGGTAGTCACGAATCACGAGTGCCGTGATCTCTAGAGGATTCTGTTTCTTCGAGTAAAAACCGCGTAAGTACACGAGAGATCCATTGAAATTAAGCGGTTCTCGTCAAGTATTTCCTTCCCGACATTATTATTCTTCCGATACGTTCAATCTGCATTTTCCGACGACGGTGCCATGGACTCGACTTTATCACCGCTGCCAACTTGAGTAAAATCACCCATTGCAGTCGATTTAAAAAAATAGCTCGGACGGAAATTCGGCATCAATGGGAAAGTTCCCACACACAGCGGTGCCGGTTTATATCTTAAATCGTTCATCACAGCCTTGTTGAACTAATATTTAGGGAGGATTTTGCAGCGCTGTTTATGCGCTGCTGATTTCCCCAGCTGCGATTCGTCTTTCGCGAGGCAGGGCATGATGCACTGTTTAAAGTTTTCTGCGATCCCATTGCTGCCGAATGGACGACAATACTGCCGTGCTAAGGAAAAACGCCGTATGAGCTTTTAGGAGTTGCCAATTTCCTTTGGTAAATCACGAATTTTCGGGATCTCTACTCTAGCGACAAATATAGGTTTCAAAAAAATAATACGACTATTCGTGTTCCCCTGTGAGGCGCTAGGCATAACTGGGTATTTGAAGGCGCTTCTTCACGATCGGTACCACCACGTCCCCGTCTAGTTGAAAACGAAATTCATTGAGAGGATCTAGCGGAAGTTGGCTCCCTTTCA